TAATTGAATGCATCCTTGTTCCGTGGCCTCGGTTCGAAATGCTCGCGCATGATTGACTCACGACCAATTCCATCCAGCCAGTCGGATGAAAAGTAATTTCGTTGAAGGGTGCACACTCTGATGATATCGGGACGCCTCCGCTCAAGTCCGACCAACTTGACCATTCCGGGAGGTTCGCCATCTCTCGGTGGGACGCGCGGACACGGGAAATGAGCGCGCGACGCGCTCGCGAGTGGCGTGCATTAAGACAGGAGGTGCAGGAGGGAATTTGGAAGGCAATTCTTTTCACAAAAGGCTTGTTGATTATTGGAATAGCCTCACCCCCCCCCCCCCCCTCCGCCGCAAGCATTGTTGAGGCAGATTCAATAGGTTCGTTTAAAAAAAGCAGCTGGATGGGTTCATGTCGACCGGTGTAAAAGACAAAGATGTAATGGGAATAGAGGGAAGGACATGAATGTGTCCGAGTCCCAAACAATAGACTGATTATGGCTGAAGACAAACACAGACAAGCACATCGGTTCTCGGGCCTTTCATGTTGCATAAATGCATGATTCTACGGACACTTAACACTGTTATTATTAAGGCAATCTGAGAAAAATATACAGTATATATCATAGGCTAGCATTTTTGGCAATGGGCCTTCATCAGAACCAGGAGAGGTCACAATATTCTGACTGCCCCCCCCCCCTCTCTGTATGCTCCTAACAAGGGCCATCACCCAAAGTATGTGCCTTTTGTATGATGTTTGATTTGAAACCGGCGTTCATGACAATGGTGTTCATACGTTCGTGTTTAATTGTGCAACACTGCCAATGCAGACATTGAAGTGTGTTGTTGTTGTTGTTTTACACGTTTGGGTTTTAAACTGAAACACTGTAAAAAATACTTTCGTTTGCAGCTTTTCTCAATCCACTGCTAAACAAAGGAATCCCTTGCAATGCATCGCTCACGGGGGTCATTTGACCATACTTTACCTTGCTGGCCAGCATAGGTTTGGGAGGGGGTCTTCCCAGGACTGGTGCGGAAATCGCTGGCTGCTGATGTTACTCATAACCAGAAACCTAACGAGAAGGAAATATAAGTTCATAGGGTGGTGCTCTAACCTCTTCACCTCCACCCAAACCATGACGCTAAAGTAAGTAAATTGAAATCATCATTGTGTCCATGAATGGTCTTATTTGGGGGGGGGGGAGGGAGTTGACCTCCTATGAAATCTACTGATGGAACCCACAGTGGCAGCTTTGCTTAGAAACCCGAGCTGATATCAGGGGGTACCATGTAAAAGAGACAAATAAAGAGCGGATGCTTGCACTTTGACGGATGAGGTTCAGCTGGAGTTCGATTGCAAATGCAAATAGTGGGGGAGATTGAGCGCTGCCCTGTCTGGGCCACAAGGAAGGTTGAATGGTTTGGATAATAGGCCGTTAGTATGTTTGCCAATGGGCTTATAAATAGAGGAGATATCTGTGACCTCAATCCACTAGCCCCAAGTTAAATCTGCCATTCGGGCTGACTTGCAGAATGCACCGCTGTCCTATGCAATTAATTAAGTTGCTTGCGATGGGATGGGATGGTGCGGGGGAGATCACTTTATTAATTTGGAATTTATGAAAAAATACCGACGTATGTGTTTGTTTGCGCTATACACGGTCCATACAATAATATTACCACATTTCACAATATGGTGATGGTATTAAAATATGTATATGTAGTTTTAAACACATTGCCAAACGAAGCTCATTCATGTGCCATCGATATTCCTTTCAATTGCATCGTGTTTGTGTGTGTTTTTTTCTCTCCATGGTTCGTTTCATAAAATGGTTCATTTTTGCGATGATTGATCACATTGCACTCTGTGCTGAGAGTGAATAAATGTCCTTTCTCTTCTATCGGGGAGGGGCAACTTGTTGCCAACTGAGTGTGCACATCGAGAATACATCGCCGACTGTGCAATATGCTTGATGTTCTGTCGGCGGCTTTTCGCAGGAACATTATAAATACGTACAGCAATAATGTAATAACGTGTGCCATATCTCCAGGTCATGGGAGACATTCTGCACCATTTGATCATTAAGTGAGAGAAAAATCACTGTAATAGGGTCCACAGAGTTATTTACGCCTTCAATTAAGGTGCCTTTTCATTTGCACCGAGCGTAAGAACGCTTGCTGAGAAAAAAAATGGCAATTGTTTGCTAATTGGAGTGCGTCCCCCTGTTTTATTTTCAATTTACAAAGCCGACGTGCTGCTTTTTAAACAATAGCACAGGACAGATTTCCCTTGTAACGTATTTGTTCCGCGGCTGCTAGGCCTCGTGCTATCACATACGGAGCAACTCTGCTGCGGCTCACTGTTGTGGACTCATCAGGCACGTTGTTGATGTGCACATGTAGAACATTAAATATATCTGTGGGTTTCATTCAGCTACTTTGGTTCCCCCCCCGCCCCGCGCCCCCACTTCAAAAATAATGAGTGAATAAATTAAACATATTATCACAGGAACTGAACGTTGTCTTAAAACTTAAACATGTGTTTCTAAATTATTCCCATTGATGGAAAGGTGTTAGTGTTTACCTGCTGAAATAAGTAGTGATGTAGCAGCTTTAATGGCCGTGGGGTGGTGCTGTTAATGTAATGTTTACAATCCAGGGCTGGTGGTGGAAATTCCATATTCCTATGCCGAAGGTGAACAAATTACTGTAAAATGAAACATCACGAATTAATTTCCACAAAGCATGTATTCCTTCATAAATCCCTTTAAGGATAATAAGCTGCGTTTGACCCCAATTGGGATTCGATCTTATGACCCTGGGTGTGAATGATTCCTTGTTAATATAATTATTCTGCTATGACTTGCTATTAACACAGTTCCTGCATGATCGTGACCGATTCTCAGTTATTAATATTATTCTAGCTGTTACCATTGAATATTAAATGTATTAGTTATGAATAACATTATTACCATTGTTGTTATTTGTTATCAATACAGCATCCGTGGTAATGAGTGATTAATTATTCGTTTTTTTTTTAATTATATTATTGCTGTTTATCATTTAGTTCTTATTGTAGTCTCGGAATGGATGTCGTCGTGCCTTTGATGAAGGCAGCTCGATCTTGCAGACACATGTGGTCGACCTTGCGTGGACCAGGCGAGAGTTTCAGGAACTACAAACATCAGCGACCCGTGTGTGTGAGAGCTGCCCCGTTTATATGCAGTTTGCGTTGAAAAGTATATATATAATTGAATCACATTTGTGTTTGTTATGGATCATTGGCCCAAAACTATAAAGGTGTCATTGGCAGGATATGAATGGCGCAATGAATGTAATATATTGCGTTAAGTCATTTTTTAATTACCAAGGCTCAGCTGTAAAGTTGTTGGAATTCCAAAGCTTTAGACGGATCTTTGACATTTATGACGCACACAAAGATTGCACTTATAACTCCCAGCTTATATACATTAATTTTGCAGACATTAAACGCAAAACCCAATTAACGTAATTAATAATGCAGCAAAATGAATAATGTTCCGTCTTTTAACGGCTGAATCGCTTCCACAAATGGCATCAGTAATTGTGGCGACCGACTGAATGAAGCACTCCTTTCTTTTGTGCATTGTGCAGGCCTGAATAAAAGGCATCAATCTCTATTCAGCTCTGAATATCTGGGAAACAGCCATCGCTCTTATTAAGTGTGGCCCGCTGCGCTGTGTTTCTGAGATAAGACTCGCGGCCCCCATTCAGTAGCATTTACATCCACAGTAATTACTCTTCCTATTAATTGAAATGTAGATGGAGTGCCATGCGTTAAAAAAAAAACTTTCACCAATGTGTGTTGTGCGGGGAAAAAGGGGGGACAGCCTTTGTGTACAATTGTGCGGTCCATGTGTGTGCGAAGTTTTAACTGCGTTTGTTATTTCCTGCCATGCTCCAGCTTATTTGGTTGGTGAATGTCTTGTGTGCTCCTAACCCCCCCACCCACCCCCCAGCTTAAGCCGGCAATAATAAAGAGGCTCAGCGTTTGTGTGAAGTGTCATGGGTTTTTTTTTCCCAGGCTGAAAAAAAATACTTATATATAAAAACGTGAATAAAAAAGTTCATAAATAACCATGGTCTCGAATACAGTCTCACGATTTCAGACATGAAGGCTGTGGCTAGCTTACAACGTCGATATGTTGACAATGTGTGTTGTTGTTGTCTGCGATTTTCAACAACAACAAATATATGATAATAATTTTACTTCCGTTGAATACATCCTCTATCTATTCTTCACAAGCATAACCTACTGAGCAGGGGAACGATATCGCAATAGTACAAGCAACCACGTAAAAACATGGCAAAAGGCAACGTGTAACATGCATATATTTCCCCTGTTTTATTTTTAAACGTATAAGGTCAAGGATTATCTTGCCAGAGTACACTGTCGGAGACTAAAACTTTTAAGTTCCAGTTTGATGGACGTTGCTTGAAAATGAAGGTATATGAGGCACATTCAGGAATGCTTTCAATATATGCCTTTTCAGTTAATGGCCAAAAAACGAATGGTCGTCATACGCTTCAGTATTGCCGGGACATTCTGGTGCTTGATTGTCAGATCCTATTAGAGTCCGAACACTGCAGAATTGCAGCTATCGCTCTGGATGGAAAATAGACTTGACGTGTGCTGACAAAAAAACATTGGCCATGAGGCTTAACCCTTTTCAAAACAATTCTTGAGACGCAGTGGAGAAATTAAATAACGGCAAGGGTGGGCTTACAATCTCACTTATTACACGCTTCATAAATAAAAGCCCGATCTGTTATTTGCGCTCGTGAAACAGGGCCTGATTGTGTTTTGACCATGGGGGAAATGACCGTGTCATAAATTCTTCATGATATGCTTTTTAAAAAAAGTCTCCAGAAGCTGCCTTTTTTTTTTAGTGCGAGCGGTAGTTTAGAACTTAAAGCAAAATCTATAATGTAAAGCATTAACTTCTGCTGGTGCTTGTGTGCGTGCAACTCAGGTAACACGGAGGATGCCCGCGAGACTGGAGAGTATGAGAAGGAATTTCTTGACAGGTGATTGTAAGTAATAACGAAGGAATTAATACAAATTGCACGTACAGGTCATACATTACAGTCGCATAGTGTGGTATGCGCGGTGGCACTTCAAGTTAAATCCCACGTGTTATATTCATAAGTAACGAGTCACAGTGTCTACATAATCAACAAGGTATTGGAGTCAAGCTCACGTAAATTCGCAGCACTGAGTCAGTGGTGCTAATTCCACATTCCGGGGGTGGACACCAGTCTAAACATTTATAGGACCCTATTTGCCAGTATTAAGATTTTTTTTTCAATGTTTTACCATTTCTAGTCTAATACAGGTGTTCAGATTTTAATATACCAAATAGCCACACATATTTATTACAAGGCGTCGAGTCTGCATTAACCACTCATGCTCGTGGTAAAAACATGCAAACTAATTTGCTTTGATGACACTTTGTAACACAGTGTTTGTTCCTGGGTAGTAAGTATTGTTTCGTTATTGCTTATGTTTAAAAAGTATAGAAAATGGCTATTATACCCCACAAACTTTGCTTTTGTGATCAGGACAGTGGTATTTTAAAATGTACCTATTTTCAATGAGAAAACGGGCGAATTTGTGTCTTTTCGTTCACATAAAGTCAGAAAAAAAAACAAATTAGTAAAAATTAACATGCATTTCTAGTAAAGTAATACAAAAATTACCACAAAAGATTTAGAAATGAGTAGTTTTTCGAAATTTACAATTATACTGTAAATCACTTTCACGAATGAGCCCCCAAATGTAGTCTCCCATCGTTATACTGTCCTTGGTATCGGCGTTCAAAGTCCAGTATATCCAAGTGGAAGCACTCGCCTTGCTCCTCCGAGTATACTCCCATGTTCTCCTTAAATTTATGAAGATGACCATCAAGGATATGGACTTTGAGGGACATCCTACAGTTCATTATGCCATAGTTCTTCAGCAGAGTCTCAACCAGCTCCACATAGTTTTCGACCTTGTGATTGCCCAGGAAGCCACAAACCACTGCGACGAAGCTGTCCCAAGCCGCATTCTCCTTACTAGTGAGCTTCTTGGGGAATTCATTGTACTCCAGGATCATATTTATCTGTGGTCCGATGAAGACACCGGCTTTGACTTTTGCCTCAGACAGCTTAGGGAAGAAGTCTTGAAGGTACTTGAAGGCTGCTGACTCCTTATCTACAGCTCTGACAAATTGTTTCATAAGGCCCAATTTGATGTGCAATGGTGGCATCAGCACCTTCCGGGGGTCCACCAGTGCCTCCCACTTGACGTTGTTCCTCCCCACAGAGAAATTGGTCCACTGTGGCCAGTCCCGCCTGTGGTAGTGTGCCTTGATGTCCCTGCTGTGTCAAAGGCAAAGATAGCAGGGAAACTTGGTAAAACCGCCTTGGATACCCATCAGGAATGCCACCATTTTGAAGTCTCCGATGACCTCCCAGCCGTACTCATCATACTTCAAGGCGTCCAGCAAGGTCTTGATGCTGTTGTGATCCTCTTTGAGGTGCACCGAGTGAGCCAGGGGAAGAGACGGGTACTTGTTACCATGATGGAGCAGCATGGCTTTGAGGCTCCTGGATGAGCTGTCAATGAAGAGGCGCCACTCATTCGGGTTACAGGCGATTCCGATTGCCTCGAACAGACTGGTCAAATTGTGGCAGAAACAGAACCCATCTTGACGGGTGAAGAAGCTGCAAAAAGGTTGGTGACGCTTCCTCTGATCTGCGACTTACACAATTTCATCCAAAAAGTTCCACTGCTTGAGCCTAGACGTCAAAAGCTCGGCATTGGACTTGGTGAGCCCAAGATCTCTGATAAAATCGTTGAGGTCTTTTTGGTTGGGGTAGTATGGGATTCTCTCCTCAGCTCCACCTCTGAAATTGTCACCTGGATCTACAACGTCTTCCTCGCTCTCTGACTTGCTGCTCTCTTCTAAAGACGGCTGCTCTCTCTCCGGAGGAGTGGGTACGGGGAGCTCATGGCAGTGTGGCACCGGGCGATGGATGAAGGAAGGTCGGGATACGTGATAGCAGGTGCATTCTTGCCAGTCCGACGTTTAGAAGTGTCCACCATGCACAAGTAGCAGTTGCTTGAGTGGTCAGTGGGTTCCCGCCAAATTCTTGGGATAGCAATCTTCATGGCTCTCTTTTCCCCTCTGTACCATCCTACTAAAATACATTTATTTCACCCATGACTAATGTGCAAGAGATTCTCGCAGCATTTTTCATATATGATATATTTTTTAAATAACATTGATACTTGTAAAACATTTTTAAATAAAACTTTTACAATTTTTTTTTTACAAATTTTATAACATTAAATTCTGAGCAACAATTGTCCATCTTATCTTCCAGAGTTCTTTTTCATTGCACGCAGGTGAAATGAGGTGCCCAGGGTTTATCTTGATCCTCGACAGGCATGCTGAAATATGCCTTGTAGGCCTCACACATCTTAGCAGATGCTTCCACAGAGTACTTTTCGCTCTTGTCTTGATCAATTGGCCGCAGACATAGCAAAATTCGTCTGCCGGATGGTTGCAGCCTCTTGATGTCATCTCAGAAAAATTCAGATATGTATCCACTTAGGCAACTGGATCTAAACTGAACTGGTGGGCTTAAAGCCCCTGTATTTATACTACTATTTATATTACTGGAAAGTTCTAGAATGTTCTAGAAGTTACTCCAAGTTTACTCAGCACTGAATCTATCTGGAATGTTCTGGGAAATAGGTAAATTTCAAAATATCACAGTCCTGGTCACAAAAGCAAAGTATGTGGGTAATAATAGCCATTTTCTATACTTTTGAGGCATAAGCAATTAGGAAATAACACTTATTACCCAGGAACAACAATAAATTGTTATACAGTGTAATGTATGCATTGTCCTTTAAACAGATTGGCTTACACCAGAGTTAACATGTTTTTTTTATGGCCTTGTCTCACCGGTGCGAGATCAAAGAATGGCAAAAGATGAATAGTACAAGGATAATGCGAACGCCAAAGCATTAACGGCTCGGGTTAAGCACCTTTATCTCTGAGACCCTTTTGCCAGTGTTAACCATAGGATAGCTGTTTGGCTTGTAATTATTCGGTCACCTTCGCAAATCGAGAAATTGTCACAATCCGGGAGCACGATCAAACCAGAGAAATTTTTTTTCTAAAATGCATCTCTATAATGTGTTGCATCATAGCACCTCTAGTGGTTACACACAACATGTACGAATCGAAAAAAACCCCATCCATTTCTTGTGCACAATTCGTCTGACACGTGAGTTTCGGAATTCGATTTTCATCGTTGACCCATCATTAACGGTCCCTAGTCGCCACTGTGGGTGGATTACTCTGAAGTGCAACTCGTGTGGCGTTTGAGTTTGGACTGAGTTCAGTGGCTTTATCCACAGTGACATCGTGATCCCATGCCACGTGCAAGTGAAGCGGCGTTGCGTAGGACACAGAAAAGGTTCGCACGTCCAGTATTTCTGATAATCCCAACGGCACAACATTAAGTGTGTTCCACTGTGTCCTTAGCAAGTCCTTGTTAGCTAATGGCCTCTGACGAATAATTGTTCAAGCCTTAAAATTACCGCTCTCCCTTTATGGTTATTTTATTATCGGGACCGGCCATAGGTGGCACAAATGGTTTAAACAACACATTGCACTTTAACGATGCCTGAATGTGTATTTTTTTTTTAAATGGTAGTTTTTCACGTATCTGTATGTATGCAAAATTATAATTCTTTGAAAACCCACTACTGGATAAAAGGCCTCCTTACCTCCGATTAGCTCAGTTTGCTACGTATGGTGCGAAATAAGTTAAACGTGCATACGTACTTACACTGTGTCATTTCACCATACTTCACCATGTTTATCATTTCGTATTTTTGAAGGGGGAGGTCGAACAATGGAATCGGTTTGGATATTACCCGCTGCTGATGTTAGCCATGGCCGGTAATTGAACCCAGGTCGGGTTCATGGTGCAGGATGCAAACCACCCCTCCATGCATGTATTCAATAAATATAATTAAATTATCATAATTAGTTAATCGCATGTCAGATGACTACAATGTTCTTAGGACAGTTGATCCATTGGGGGAAGTTGCTTGCCCGACATGTGCTTACAACTTGGCGAGTGTGCACTGACAAGACTGTTGCTACACCACGGGTAACTTGGGTCATGATTCCAGCGCACAATGACCTACTCTTGTGAGTCGCGTCACAGCTGATTAATTTCCACTCTTTACCTTCCGTGTACCTTGTATCGTTGCCGGACTCAATGTGCCAAGGGCACTCGACTCACAATCGGAGGGTTGTGCGTTTAAACACAAGTTGGAGGTCATCCTGCTAATCTTCCCATTAGGCATTGTAGGAAGTCAACCATTGTGGTCCTATTGAAGACAATGGCCCCTGCCATAAATAGGAAAATGTCTTTTCCATCAATGGCCCAGGGCCCGCCAATTTAGGTGACAGCCACCCCATTGGCTTTGATTATCACAAGTGAGGGCCCATACTAACAGTGATATCCGAACTTTTTTCAGGAATACACGCATCATGCAGTGACCGGAAATGTGTCTAAAAATGTAAACAAATTGCAAAAAAGGAGCAAAATAATAAATGTCCGTTGAGCAACTGCTTTGTGGTAACTGCGCGATGTAAATCTAGCACAGGCCACCACTGTTACTCACTATTGAGCCCGGCAGTTCTTTTATCGTCCACTTTAGTGCCATTGGATTCTATTCTGCTGGATGTGCGGTGTAATTTAGCACCAAACAGTTTTCAGCAGTGGGAGTCTTGTGGCGGGAGAGCAAATAAATAAATAACGCCGGGATATATTTGTTTTATATCGCAAAATAAATAAATATATTTCAATAAGTCCCTATACACCCATTTCCACACAAGCACGCACCTTAGAATCCAGTCATCACATTTTAGTGGCCCATTCCTCTTGAAAGATGAGCTCAGTTATATGTGAGCCACATTTCCGATTTTTGCATTTTATCCAGTAAAATCCCAATAAATGTT